GTTTGTGCCTGTGTTGGAGAGGATAATGTGTGGGCTCAAAACTGGGAAGTGTGTATATAAACTGGACATGTTGATACGTGAAACTTTTTAGTTCTCATCGCACTTAGATTGAAATAACTTGATGTGCTGTCTCGTGCCCACTCCTCCCTCACGTGTTGGACTTGGGGCCCACTGGGCTTCTCAGTGTTGTGTCTGCAGTTTCGCCCCTCAGGGCCTTTGCATGTGCTCTTCCCTAAACCTAGAAAGTTGTTCTCTCCACTTAGCCTTCCTTTGCATGACTGGCTTCTCGTCATTCCAGCGTTGGCCTAAATATTGGCTCATCAGAGAGGCCTTGGGGACTTAAGTGTTTATGGAATCTAAAATTAGGAACCCTCGTATTCTCTGATCGCCTCCCTTTCCTTCATGCCGTCTCTCACGATTACCAGGGACCATGTCCTCCTTGCCTCGCTTGTTTCATGACTGCACTGCCCAAGCGGCCTCTCCCAGGAACGGTGAACATCCTGATGGCAGGGTCACTGGCTCTGTTACCACCAAGGGGAGTTCTTCCCACATACAAAGTTTTCTCTGAAGGTTACAGACCTTTCTGTTGGTCAAGACTCCTTTGAGGGTCTGAGGAAAGTGATGGGTATAGAGCAGAACACATACAAAGTATCTGATCTGTGCATTCAGGGGATTCGCTGGACCACTGATCCCCTCGTGGATTCTACCCACACGCTAGCATACAGTTAGGGTTAGGGTGCAGCTAGAAAACAGAGTTAGGAATTCCCTTACCCTGTGTCTTCATTTACAGTCTTGTCTGACTTAGAGCTTTGGATCATTGGTCATGTCCAAAGTGTGCTGCTTAAGAATGCTCCATCAGATTGTCTCTGTCCAGCCGCTTCCTGTCACTTTCTCTCACTGTCTTGGAGCGCAGATTTCATCTCTTAGTTTTGAATCAAATATCTTAAGTCCTCTTGGATCTAGAAAGTAGTTTACAAGTGAAGGGGGAAAATAACAGTCGAGAGCTTTATGAAAAATAGCTCACGAGCAGAAAGGACAGCCTGTAGTGCCCACTGCAATGTTTGGAGACTGACAACAGCCTTACATTTCTCTTGGATCCTGATGACAGCATAGTCCATACGTAGGTGATGCCATTGCTGCTCCCCTGTTCACCCATCCTCAACTTTTGAGATCAAAGATAACTTTTTATTTTTGGATGTACTTAGGTAACTACATGGTATTTGGCAAGGGGAGGGGATTATTTAATGTATTTACTTCCTTTACTGGTATTTATTTGGTAGGATTTCTTCAGTAGTTTCTGCATGCCTGAATATAGACCCTGGGAGGTACAGGGTGGATACTGTGTGGTAGAACTTCCTAACTGGTGGGCAGGTGTTTTCTCTGTGGCCTTTTTAGGTGGAATTGCCAATCCTTGATCATTTGTGTGATGACTTCTGATTTTTATAAGAGGTAGATTGCTTCATTTTGATAAGAGGAGATTTAGCCAGGTTTGCACAGAGTGAATTTTTCTGTCTATTTACTTAATAGTTAAGGAATATTTATTTGGTATCAAAGAATTTAAGCAGTATATATTAAGTATCTAATGGTAGAAATACAGACATGAATAAAGAAACGTGGTCTCTACTTTTAAGTACTTGCAGTCTGGTTGGAGAGATAAGATATGCACAGAATACAAGAGTTCTGAGTCACTATGTGACATACTGTTAAAGAGGTACAGATTGAACACCTGGAGTCCAGGGCGGGAAGGGGAACTAACTCCCTTCAGTCTGACTGGGTGATCAGAAAAGATCTCAGGAGGAAGTATGTATTTTTAAGGAATTCCCTGGCAGGTGGATTAGGAAAGAGGAAGAGAACATTTTATCAGGAGGAGGAAGATAGCATAAACCAGGCCCAGCAGTGGGAAAACGAGACTTCGTGTTTGGGATTGAAACTGAGCTAACATTTTGTACCATTCCTAGAAAGTCAGCTGGGCTTGACCCTCTGGGTCAAGCTTTAAGTAGATTTACGTGCTTGGGTTTGAGAAATACTGGGGTGACACTCCAGGAAGACCAGATATAAGCCATCCTGGATACTGATCCATTGGTCTAGTTTACCACGAATTTGCTAATTTGGGGTTATTAATATAAACAGTACTTTCTTTGCAGCATCCCTGTTATTGGGGTTAAATATGTTTGTTTTCTGTAGTATTCACAGCCTTTAGTTTTATGGATATTGGTAATTAAATTTTCTTAATTTCTGTGTGGGTTGGTGCCCATCTTTTGGTGAATAAAATTTAATTCATTGCTAGTGAGCCAGAAAATTATCACTTAACACAGGGCAGTTTATATTAGTCTTCTGGTCACCATTTTCCACCTGTTAAGCAAATAAATGTAATTTCTACCACTATGAAGAATTGTACTTAGAAGTTCTCTCTGAGTAAGAGAAGTTTATGGAGCTTTTATTATCCTTAGGTTGTCCAGTTTTTCTTAGCTTTACAGAAAAATTTGTCACATGAGATCAGTTCCTTTGTGGTATCTTTTAACTAAAGTTTTATCGTTTATCTTTTCTGTGCCTTATTTTTAAAAAGTTTTAAAGATATCTTGTATTTCATTCTACCTAAAGTTAGATTTTCACAATTAGATCTTTAATCTACTTATAATTTATTTTCATTGATGGTGTGAGTTATGGAATCCACTCTTATATTTCCAGCTATTTAATCAGTTGTCTTAGCACCATTGATTAGATAGTATACTTTTCCCATTGGTTTGTACTTTGTCATTTGTCAGGATTCCATATGTGCATGGGTCACCTTCTGTGTGTGATAGTTTCTTTACTTACAAAGATCTTTACAAATATTTCCACGATGTACACATTTGTAGTATTAAAAATTATTTTGTATTAGTCTGGAATATTATTTCATTACAGCAGAATTTGTAACTCACAATTCTCTAACAATTAGCGATGTTGAGCAGCTTTTCATGTGCCTCTTGGCCATTTGTATATCTTCTTTGGAGAGATGTTTGTTTAGGTCTCCTGCCCATTTCTTTATTGGATTTTTTTTTTTGATACTGAGCTGTATGAGTTGTTTGTGTATTTTGGAAATTAATCCCATGTCAGTTGCACATAGCAGCTACTTTCTAACGGCTGGTAGTAATTCAGTGTGATCATACATCAACAAAATATCTAAATCCCATCTCACGGTGATTTTACATTTGCAGTTGTACCTGTCACAGCCACAGTGCGTGGATTCTTATTCTTGTCAAAAGAGATTAGGTAGTCTTACTTTGAGTACATAACCTGTACCGTCTACTCAAAAGGAGTGACTTGCCAGGTACAGTATGCTGGCATTATATTAGCTCTCTCATGCTTATGAGTGGTCATATTTTGTCAAACAAACTATATATGTTAACAACTTAGTTTAAATGTTACATCCTTATGTTTGAGTAACAGATAACGATCCTTGGATATACTAAGTCATCTAATATACAAGTTAATATAATATGTAAAGGTAGCTGGTGCTCCAAATATTTATACTACTTTATTTTTCACAACTTTCTCAAAAAACATATGATAATAAGTCTTTTTAAAATTGCTTCTTCTATAGAGATATTTCTGATCCGTTGATAGGTTGATCTGAGGTTTTTTTTTTTTTAACTAAAAATGACATGCAGATTCTATTTATACAATAACCAAATTCTGTCTAAACTGAAGTAAACATTTGTAAAATCTCTCTCTCTCAACTCCTACCCTGTTATCACTGTATTACTAATGGGTTTGTATTACAATTTAGGCCTTTCCCGGCATAGATTATGAGACCATAAATAATTTATTAATCTGCATATTCTGACACAGTCCTGGGTATGTAGTAGGGGTTTAGTAAATGCATAGTGAATTAATGTAGTCTTGCCAAAACACTAAAGAAGTGCTAAACGGATCAATGGAGAGATCAGAATCTTGCTCTTATTTTTATTAGCATTTTGTTCAAGTTTAAGCCAGTCATCTTATTATCACATCATACTTTGATGGTTGCAAAAACTGCAGGACATGGCCATGAGGAAATAAAACATTATGCTCTGCATGTAAACAGAATATCTTTGCAAAGCACATGACTTACGGCGTCAAAAGTTTTTCCTTGGAAATGATTTTTAGAAAATCTTTATAGAACTGAAATCTTATCATTTAGGTGATGGAACGGTGTACAAAGAAGTTTAGGGAATATATTTCTGGATACAGAAGTGAAAATTTGCCATGGGAAACTACCAAAAAAATAAAAAATAAAAATTTTGGAAATATGCTTCACCATCTTCTTTCACATAGGTCTGCACAAGACTGACCTAGTTGTCACGGGTGTTCCCGGAGGGGAAGGGTTCCAGCTGCGAGCACCCTGTGCTCTCCTGCTGTGTGGGCTCAGGGGACGTGAAAGGGGTGGGCCCTGTTCTCAGTGGACTCGTGGATAGAGAGGGACATTTCTGGGCTTTTCCCAGATAATTTACCACGGATTATAGAATTCCTTTAATTCGTTTTTACAGATGCTTAAATATTTAAAAATATATGTAAGTTGCTAAGGAAATCAGGCTTCTTACTGACGCGGTGCCTTCTCTGTTGGTGTTGGGGGTTTGCGGGACACAGGCTGGCAGCTGGCAGCGGCCGGGAGCAGTGTGCGTCAGTGTGAAGGGGGTGAGGGTGCCCAGTTCGAGCTCTGCTAGGAAGGACAAGGACATTGACCCATAACTAGGATGAACCAAAGCCAGGTGCAGAAAGAAAAGAGCTCGCATGGGTCTGTTCTTTAAGCATTCCCAAGCGTGCCAGATGCTGACTGCTGGTGGGCAGGGATCTGCTCGCTGTGGGAAATGGAGAAGACCCCTGTCCTAAAGGAGCTTCCCTTCTTCTCACGAGCATGCTCGGGTGTCCTTGTTCAGAAGCTGAAAGATGAAAACTGAGTGAAATAAGACTTTTTTGTGGAAGTGTTTTTTAATGTGATTTTTTTCCCTTAAAATTTTATTTTATTTTATTTTTTTTAGAAAATGGCTCCAAAGGGTAAATGAAGCTGGAAAAATACATAGATGCAGCGTTGCATGCAGCCTCTCCGGATGTTTGAGGATAATATTCCAGAGAGAAGTTGATCCCCTTGGAGTAGGTAGCTTGTCAGAATGAAGAAAATTAGTCTTAAAACCTTCCGGAAATCTTTCAACTTGAATAAAAGTAAAGAAGAAACGGATTTCATGGTCGTACAACAACCATCACTAGCCAGTGATTTTGGAAAAGAGGATTCCTTGTTCGGGAGCTGCTATGGGAAGGATATGGCCAGCTGTGACCTCAGCAGCGAGGAGGAGAAGGGCGGGAAGAGTCGGTCGAAGAGTGAGAGCCTCATGGGCACGCTGAAGAGGCGGCTCTCGGCCAAGCAGAAGCCGAAGGGCAAGGGCGGCGCGCCGTCCGGGGGCTCTGCGGACGAGGACGCCTTCTCCTCCTCCTCGGCGCCGCTCGTCTTCAAGGACGTGAGGGCGCAGCGGCCCATGAGGTCCACCTCGCTGCGCAGCCACCACTACAGCCCCACGCCGTGGCCGCTGCGCCCCACCGCCTCGGAGGAGACGTGCATCAAGATGGAGGTGAGGGTCAAGGCGCTGGTCCACGCGCCCAGCCCGGGCCCGGCCCTGAACGGCGTGCGCAAGGACTTCCGCGACCTCCAGGCCGACGCCGTGTGCCCTGAACAGACGAGCTCGCTGAAGGGCTCCGAGTCTCAGGATGGGGACCTGCATCTCCACCTGGATGAACATGTGCCTGTCGTAATCGGACTCGTGCCTCAGGACTACATTCAGTACACTGTGCCTTTAGAGGAGGGGATGTACCCCTTGGAAGGGTCGCGCAGCTGCTGTCTGGACAGCTCCTCCCCCATGGAAGTCTCCGCCGTCCCGCCCCCGGTCGTGGGGGGCGCCTTCCCCGAAGACGAGAATCAGGTAGACCAGGACCTGGTCGTGGCCCCGGAGATCTTCGTGGACCAGGCGGTGAACGGCCTGCTGATCGGCACTACGGGGGTCGTGCTGCAGAGCCCGAGAGCGAGTCACGACGACGCCCCTCCACTCTCACCGTTGCTACCTCCCCTGCAGGCTAACCAGATCCAAAGGAACTTCGGTGGGCTCGCCGGCTCTGATGCCCACGTGGCGGAAAGTGTGCGCTGTCACTTGAATTTCGATCCTAACTCGGCCCCTGGGGTTGCGAGAGTGTATGACTCAGTGCAGAGTAGTGGCCCCATGGTTGTGACAAGCCTTACAGAGGAGCTGAAGAAACTTGCGAAACAAGGATGGTACTGGGGACCGATCACCCGCTGGGAGGCGGAAGGGAAGCTGGCAAACGTGCCAGATGGCTCTTTCCTTGTCCGGGACAGTTCTGACGACCGTTACCTTTTAAGCTTGAGCTTCCGCTCCCACGGCAAAACCCTCCACACTCGAATTGAACATTCAAATGGTAGGTTTAGCTTTTATGAACAGCCGGATGTGGAAGGACACACGTCTATAGTGGATCTAATTGAGCACTCCATCAGGGACTCTGAAAACGGGGCTTTTTGCTACTCCCGGTCTCGGTTGCCCGGCTCTGCCACGTACCCCGTCAGACTGACCAATCCGGTGTCGCGGTTCATGCAGGTGCGCTCGCTGCAGTACCTGTGCCGTTTCGTCATTCGTCAGTACACCAGGATAGACCTGATTCAGAAACTGCCTTTGCCAAACAAAATGAAGGATTATTTACAGGAGAAGCACTACTGAGAGAGTATGAGAGCCCTGCATCTTGCACTTTGGGAGTAAGAAAAAGAGACTGAAATACAGTTTACAAACTTCTCATTGCTATCAAAATCTTCTGCTGCCATACTATTTCAGTTTTATGTGTAAGAGAGTAATCAGTTTGTGTAGGGGTGGGGAAACGTCGGCAAGGTGTCTTGGGTTTATTTTGGTTCTTTAAAAAGGGAAGTCTTGAGGTTTTAGAAGTGTGAATTATCTTTCATCAATGTGCAGAATGATCACAATGTGAATTATCAGATTCTCCTTACCCACCCACCCCCGTCCTTTGCTGCTATCCACTGTGATTTTTATGCATTAAAAGCACATTTCATGTGTCTTCAACCCTAAGTAAAGTTGAATGAAACAGAATGAACATTGTTATGTCTCTGTTAATGGCCCATTTTCAAAGGTAGTGTTGAGTAAACAACCGTGTGATAAATCACAGAATTTACACCTACACTGAGAATGGTTTTTAATTTCATCCTTTAAAAAGATTTATTTAGAATTATGAACTGACATAATGTTGAGTAGTGGAATGCAGATCTGCACCGTATCTTTTATAACACTCGTTTCTAAATTATTTTTGAGGTTGTGCTGTTTTTTGGTTGTGAGAAGTTGAATTTTTTTGTTGCCTTCATTTTCATCTTGTTTGTCTGTTTTAATAAATGGCCTTACATTAAAAAATTGTAAAGAAATGTATACCACCAATTTAGAAATTGTTGCCTTTTCTGTCATTAAACTCTGGTACAAATTGGCATAACATATAAAGACCTATGGAACTAGAACTATTATTAAAGAAATACTAGATGATCATAGTTTCCTGTGATAAACCTTTTTTTTTTTTCTGTTATCTATGCTTTCCTTTGGTAAAATGTTACATCTGTGATTTCTTTAGCTTACTTAGTCAGCATTTTCTTGGGTGAACTTGATGTAGATCTGATTTTCATAAATGGACTAAAGTCTCTTGCAACATTAAAGTTTATATAAAGTTTTAAATGGATTTCAATAGAAAGAAAACGTTGTTTTAAAGTCGAATTTATATTTTTATTTTATGTAGTCACTAATAAGATATGCTAGATTTAACCCTTCCTTTCCCCCACCAAAAAAAAACAAAACAAAAAACCAAAAAAAACCCCCAATGACTTTAGTTGACAAATTATGGAAATTGTGGAGCACCATGTAAGAAAAAGATTAAAACCATATCAGGTATATGGAAGTGTTTACCAGCCATATATACTGCCATTTAAAAATAGGTTTTCTATTTGTTTCTTTTTAATTTAGCTAAGTCTTAAGTAAATTGCAATCATTAGATATTTTATCTCTTTTAATTCAGTCAATTGGGGTGGGGGGAGTGTGTTATCTTCAATACTTTTTAGTTATTTTGAAATGTAGTGTTTATTCAGTTCGCTGCAGGATTCTTTAGTGTGGTATTTTGGAATTGCCCCATCCAGAAGATGTTTCCAGCTAATGTTTCCAACTTTAAAGGAAAATATTTCCCTCTCAGATGAAATATGTAATTTTAAGAAATTTCTTCCTTCGTCACTCACTTTTCCTATCTCTTACTGCCATTTAAAAAAAAGAGTAAAGGTCATAGGTCAAATTTAATAGCTCTGTCATTCAGACATGTCAGTATCCCCATTTCCTCCCCCCACCATTTGTTTTTTAGAGTCAGAACTGAGAATTACCAAGAAAAGGCACAATGCCATGTTGTCTGTGTTACGGTATTTTGACTTAAAGGGGAAAAGGTACTTAATTTTGGTGGAACGTTGATTGTACCTTGTTACAAAGACTCCTCTTTCGTTTTCTGACTTGTTTTCACCTAGTAAGATGGAATATGGAGTACACTGTAATAATATAATTTACGTGTTCATTATAAGCTATTTGGAGTAAGAACTATAATAGAGTTGTAAACTTGTTATCAAATTAATGCAAGACATTTAAACTATTTTTTTGCAAAACTATTTATTTTTAAACAATTTAAAATATATCTAGGGTGAGTTAAAAGGCCCTGTGCATCTATATTAGATGGCAGGTGTTGTCACAGAATCACTGTGTATTAATAATAAATGTTGAGATGGCTTCTCCGTGTTTCTAGAAGCATTTACATGTACTCTTTGTGAGATCATGGTGCACAGAGGTCTTTGGACTGCCCTGAACCCCGTCTTCTGTGGGTGTAGCCCATCCCCCACATTTTCCTCATGATACCGTGTGTTTAAGATCTAGCCATGTGGGTTCAAGTTAAGATCATTCTGATTTCCATCTAAATGTTTTTAAAATTGTGTTTTGTGTTTGGAGGGCAAGTCTTGATTCTGTTCTAATTCAGAAAGCCAATATTTTTTGTGCTTTTGTAGATTCATAATATAAAAATACTTTGAAGTAAAATACCCTATTCTAATCCAATTTCAAATTGCTAGGGTTTGATAAAAAATAAAAGTATTTGCCAAGAAATTATTTACAAACAAAGAAAGGAGTGTTGCAATATTTTCTGCCTTTGTTTCAGGAGACCCATGTGGCATAGGCAGCACGACATGATGGGAAAAGTTGACTTTATCAGATCCTGAACAGCCCAGTTACAAGTGCAAAGGGGAAGAGAGAGAGGTCTTCATCCTGTAGTTTAGTCTAGACACCACCTGGGTCAATTTCTGATTCTGTCGAATGGTGGCTTAGATGTCATGGACACTCCCTGTAAGTGATCTCTTAAATACGTGCTTCTAAAAATCTTAGCTCAAGGCAAGAAAAAGAAAACAGGAAAGCAGTATCCTTTTGCCATAATGAATGAATCAGAGTGTTTTGTTTTTTTTTTTAATCATTTGTCACAAAATGATTACTAGGACACTTGTTCATTTTTATAAATAATAAGAAAGCATAGAAAGTACTTGAAAAAATATCTTACTCTTTCTAAGGAAAACTGCTCTCTTTCTATTTGGTGCAATAATCTGAAAATTTTAGAAGGTCAAAAAATATCACAGGAAATGATCATAAAATTAAAAATAGTTTTTAAGGATACAGCTACACAGGGAAACCATCCTACTATTGAAGAAAATCATGTACCAGAAGGCTATATCATTGGCATATAGGAAATAAAACACAAGTATATGCACATGATAATTTCTGAGCCAGTATTACAGAAACAGGATACAAGTTGCTGAAATCTTAAGTAGGTTATATGCAATGTCTGCTAGTGCTACCAGTCTGAGTATCTTCCTTAACAATGCTTTCAGAAATGCCAATTTTGATCGTTGTACGTTTCACATTGCATATGAGGGATATTTGCTTTATGAATGATCCAAAAGATTATATTTTAAATCTTCATGGCTTTTCATCGAATGTGAAATCTTAATTTGAAAATGAAATCACACTACCAGCAGTAGACAGTTTCACTGAAAACTCTAATAAGGAACAATCGCCAGTTCCATAGGTAACTTTAAAGTTCTAAAATAAAGTATTGGTACGCTAGGAATCACAAATTTGGTTTCTTTTAATACTTTTTTAATCCTATAAAGATTTTTTATAAACATCCTTTTTATTAGTCAATCATAACATGGCGAATGTGTAGTTGCTGTTTCTGAAAAGTGATTCGAACTCTACATCCAGAGATGATGAAATATTCTTACAGAATTTTATAATAAGTATACATGTTGGGTTAAAGAAATTTTATAGTTGTCGGAGTGCCATGGAATTAACACTTGCAATCCAGATTGCTGTAGTTTACACTTTTCTGTATGTTTCAAATCAGGTGTGTACCATTTGTACTGAGAACACCATAGAATGAATTATCCAAAGTCCATTGATTTTAATATGTGTCTTGGTTTGTAAACAAATTATAGTAATTTCTTGCACATTTTTGGAAATCATATAAGAATTTATGTATCTGCTTCTAGATACAGTGTGTAAATAAAAATTTCATTCACAAGATCTGCCTTGTAGTCTATTTAATAACCAGATGCAGAGTTTGGTTTTAATTAGTATAGGGTTGACCAGATAATTTCTGGATGTCTCATAAACAGGGCAGAGACTGGAGGGCAGGAACCAACAAATTTCAGTAAAAAGAGAAAAGTGAAGTGGTGTCACTTATAGGAGACATCAGACAAATTAGTCATTTAGAAATCCTTTCATAGGTAAGAATGATTTTGCATGACAGCCACTGAATTTCATCATATTCTTTTCAAGTTCTCAGACAGCACATTGGATTAAACATTCACTTTAAAATGTTGTTCTGTTACTTTTTTTTAAAACTAGGAATTGATGTGAAATTTATTGAATATGAAAGAAATTGCCAGAGATGCAAACAGCCATTAATATTTAGTTCAACAACTGAGTAAAGTGATTCAAACCCAACAGGAAATAACTGTTCTTGAATATTACTTACATCAGAGGTCCATAAAGTTTTTCTGTAAATGGTCAGACGGTTATTAATTTAGGCTTTTCCGGTCTTACAGTTTCTGTTGCAAATACTCAACTCTGTCATTGTAGGGCTGTTCTATTACTTTTTAACACGTTCTTTTCTATCCTAGCTAATTCAACAATAAGCTTTAAAATGACCTTGTTGAGAATATATTGCAAATTTTGACTTTGATAGAATCCAAATAATGTCACGTTCTAACCATATTTTCCAGAGCTGGTAACAGCTGGTGCCACTGATTCTAACGTCAGACTTTGCTGATGGGAGTGCTAATGAAATTGTGTAGAAGTCCGGACTTTACAGACTTAAATCCTGTCCAAATAAACAGATTTTTATTCATTCAACACGCTAGAGCAGTGGAGAGCGTGCTAAGGACAGACTGGGTTCCTGTCCTGCAGTCCAGAGAGCCCAGCCCTGAGGAAGGAGAGGGTCTGAGTACGTACACACAACACACACACAGACATAGGCCCTAAAAAGATTCAAATTCAAGACTTGCTGCCACAGTAGGACATAGCTTAGTGAGAACCCTGGGCCTAGCTGATTATCATACCTAACCGATTTCTTGTGCTCCCTTGAAATTCTTTTAACCTCACAGGTTTTACTTATTCTTTTACTTGCCTTTCAACTTTCTGAATGAAAAGTATTTTAAACTTTGTATTTTAAAATATTTAAACCTGTGTATTTAGTCCTTATTGTCGGCTATTTTAACCTCCAGTTTTTTTTTCTTACAAATCTTTAGCTTCGTTTAAACTACATTGTTTTTGAAAACTTCCCTTCCCTTCTTTTAGCTTATTCATATTCCAATCTCCAGTTTAAGGGTTTCCTAACATTCTGAAGCATCTTTTTTAAAAAATGGACTCTTGTTCTTCCCACTCTTTTTGCCTGACTTGTCTTGCTAATGGATGTTTTTGCATCAGCTGCTTTGTTCCCTCATTTCCCAAGCCCCTTCCCCCAACCTCCTCCCCGGAGTCCAGGGCCTCCTGATAATGCCAGGGCCTGACACTGACAAAGAGCCCCGTACGAGCGGGAATCTGCATTAAGAATCCATTTCTGAGCACAGGTGAATTTTGTAGCTGGACTCCTGGAGCTTTGTCTTGAGCTGCATTTTCCTTACCTAATACTAGGCAGCCTCACCACGTCTGGAAAAGTCTCCCCCAGACTGTAAAACCCAAAGAGAGGCTGGCCAGGGAAGGGATTATTTTTATAGGGTTTATGACTAGGGCCAGTTGCCTGGGCTAGAGGTCATTTTGGGCCATTAAATCATGTCCTTGGTAACTGGCTAGCAAAAAAGGGCAAACCTAAAATTGAAAAGGAGACTCTTTGATCATGAACCATGGATTTCCCTTCACCAAAGAACTTATAAAAACACAGATTCTTTTAGGAGGCTGACCTTTTCTGATGTCTCTCTTGGTTCTGTGAGTCTGATAGACACTGGTCCTGGATTATACCAGTCTAGGGCACAAGTGAAGTTATGGTTCTCTTAAATATATGGAATTCTATCCTAGAATCCCATTAAAGAGAACCTCTCCTCCCTTGTGTAAATAATCTGCCCTCTAGTCCAGTTTTAAGAGTTGGCACCTCTGGTCGTCTCCATTGAGAATTGTCATTCTGAAGCCACCTGTTCACCTAATGCCTTTGCCACAGCCCACTTCTCTCTGCTCACTGTCATCCTTGACAACGTTGTTTTCTTGGGGCTGGCACGGGGTGAGCATTATTTAGCCTTGAGACTTATGAGCCTAACAATGGCTATGGGGTGTGACAGTTGCCTAGAAGACCGATAGATGTTTATCTTTGAACACAGAAGAGTCCATTTCTCTGCAGTGAACGGGCTCTCCCGGAATCTAGTTAGTGGAATCAGAGAGCTGGATTTTACACCATTCATTTAATAATAACAGCAGCAGACATAGACTGTGCTAATATATATACTTATAATATCTATCATGTATTTCACATCCTCAAAACAGCCGTGTGCGAGCCAGGCACCATAAAAAGGAAGCAGAGGCACGGAGGTGAACCTCCCTCTGGCCACAAAGAACCCAGTTATAAACGCATACAGTCTGGATCCAAAGTCTGTGTTCTCATCCAGTATGATATACTTTCTCCAGGGTTTTCTATTATTTAGACCGTTTTTATCTGTGATTATCAGGGAAAAGAACTGTAGCGTAAGCAAATGAATGACCTACTGCCTTCTCCTCTGGGGGGCTGCTCCGTAGCTGCAACAACACACGTTCCATCTAAACAATGACAGGTGCCCCTGATGGAGGTCTGACTGGTGGTGTGTCTGAAGGGCTTCGTCTTCCATTACTGAGGAAGGAAGGGGACCACGCCTTTCCCTGGTAGGGCCTTGTAAAGTTTTCTCAAAACTACCTTTTATACTGATATAGGAACAAGATTCACTGATGTTGAACTCTTGGGAGGATGCCTCACATGTTTGGTGCATAAGATAATTCTGCGTTTTTTGCTAATGAGTTTGATCAGATTGCCTGGGACACTCATTGTGCCCTGTTTTACTAGGAGCCACGGTTTTATGCTTTACAGCAGACAAAAGACTCCACCCTTTCTCCTTCATTTCCTAGACTCATGCTCAGCCAACTCTCTTCCACTTCCTGTCATTTTGTAATAAGCACACCCTGAGCAAGGACTTCCCTCTAGAAGCAATTCTAGCTACACTCACACCCTATACTCCAGCTTCTCTGCCTGCGCCGACTGGGTAGAAAAATCAACCACCTGTGTTCACATGGTAATCGTTCTGCTCAGTCTAAGGGAAATCCGCCTTGGCCCTTCTGTTCTGGGAAATAGCGGTTTATAGTATGCATAGCTCAGTACCATCACAACAGAAATACTACTTCTGTTTATAGACCTGGAATAGTTGTCCTAAACCCTGTCAGCACATACGATTAGCCTGAAAAGTTTAGAGAATTAGGTGACACTGAAAGTAGGTAAATTCTAATTAAAAGACATTTTAATATTTCTCATAGTGCAAGCCTGAGGGCATTGAATTCTCTCATCTTTTGTTTAACTGAAATATCTTTATTTTAACTATTTTTAAAAAAAGAATTTCCACTAGATACAGAATTCTGGGTTGACTAAACTTAGTACTGCCCAATGGGCAGAACTTAATTTTTTTTCCCATTTCGTGAAATGTTCAGTTGTAATGATACTTCTCATGGTGGGTATGACCCTATAATGGTGTTTTTGGTTGTTTAAAAGTTCCAGATAAAACCAATCCATAACCAACAGAACTTTTTATCCCTTTCATTGTCAGTAGCTGAATTTACTCTGGATGGAAAACATCCTGTAATTAATTTGCTTTTACTCTGCTCTTGCCCCTCGCATCCCAGGCGTCTTCTAACCCTAACCCAGCCTTTTTTTCTTTCCAGAAATAGCATTTTTGCTAAATCTATATTGACTTGTGCATGATGTTCAGCATCTAACAAAATTCCCTTTTCAAAAACAAAAATCTATTTTTGAGGGGAGGTAGAGATTCATTTCCAAAATATTTCCTCCATGTGAATGAATACATCAAAGGTAAAAGGAAGTCTAAGTTGCTGAAACGATCCCATTAGAAGTTAAAACCTACAACCTCTCTTCCTTCCTTTGGTATGGCACCGCTTTTCCTGATGGATCTCCAGACAAAACCGTTTCAATGAAAAAGATATAACAAAGCACAAGACAAGAGTATAGATCAATACTTCTCTCTTGGTGACCTGGGGCTCTCAATAATGTGTGCTCGCATGTCCCTAAATAATTTACTTTTGTAAATGATTTTTTTCACGACTCTGATCACTTTCCAAGCCAATCTCTTGCTTTACCCAGGCGATGGCCTCATTCTCACGTGAGGATGCTCTGGGAACCAACAAGATAGAAAAAGCCAACTTTGATCTCTATCTTTTGATTATGGGAAAAATACAAATGTAATTCACTTGCTAGAAACCATGTAACTTTTGGAAGCTTCAGTTGAGAAATACAGCTAAGGTGAGGTAGCAGGCGGTTTATATTTATGCCTTCAAGTTCTCTTATTCCCCCAGTGATGATGGATGATGGTTGGTTTTGATTAATTTAAAAGTGACTTTATTTACTCTTTTTTCTTTTTTTTTTTCTTTCCTTTTACTTTTTTTGGTCTACTTCTGGAGAGGTAGTTTTTCACTGCTTAGAACTTAAAGGCAATTGGTGGAATCCAGAAATTCTGCAAACGCCAACTAGAAAGAGAAGTCTGAACTTGAGTTTTTAAAACAGTTTGAACCAGATATTGATTTTTTTCTTACTGAAATGCTTATACATTTATATTGTTTCTAGTCATTTGTGGCTTTTCAAGCTATCCACACTTGCCATGTGATAGGAAGATAAGTTTGCAGAGGGATGGAAGATTAAATGTTAATTCTGCATTTAACTAAATGAATAATTTAATTAATATGAGTTATTAGCTCAAGGGCATGAAAGAATTCTTCTAAGAACATTAAATATGTAACGTTTATCCACCCCTAAATTGCTAACCTTCATCATTAATTGATAGAATTGTGGATCTTCACCTTGTTAAACATTTCAGTTGAAAGGATTTCTCTACAGATTCTGGATGGTAAGAGCTGTAACAGGGTGGAATGTATTTCTGTTGTTCTCAGAGAAAGTTAAAATGCAAGAGGTTCAAATGTTCAAATAACTAAAACTCTCCGTAAAACTCTGGGTAAAAGAAATTGTTCTTTTCAGTTTTCATTTCCATCTTAGCCTTGGGCTAAAATTTCAATTTTTATATTGTAATATTTGTTCCTATTCAGAACTTGTGGTAAAAATGAATATGCTTAGACCCAGAGGTTGAATACATATTGAGGAAATCTGTTTGAATTTTAGTATGAATTTTTCAGTTGCATTTCTCAGCGATTTTCAGCTTAGTAAATTTTATTTTTTTGTCTGAATAGTTCATAGGATAAAGTTCTGAGGATTGAACCCAGAACCTTGTGCATGCTAAACACGCACTCTACCACTTGAGCTGTATCCTCCCCCATATTAACTCAGTTTGAAAATTCCTCTTGAGATTTTCATAAATCAGTCTGAGAAACTCTGACAAGTCAGTTCTTTCTTCTTTGATCTTCCTTTCTTTTTGTAGATCTGAGTTTCTGACCTGTACAATTTTCCTTCTCTCCAAGAACGTCTTTTAACATTTCTTACACAGCTGGTCTCTGGCAACAAACTCCCTCAATATTTCCTTCCCTGAGAAATACTTTGTTTCTCCTTCAGTTTTGAAGGATAATCTCATAGGGTACAGAATTCTAGGTTGGTGAAGGTTTTTACTCTCGACACCTTAAATATCCCACTCCACTTTCCTCTTGCTTGCGTGGTTTCTGAGAAGTCGATGAATTCTCATTTTTGCTTCTCTGTAGGTTAGGTGTTCTTTTCCCCTCCGGCGGATTTCAGGACATTCTTTGGTTTTCTTAATCTGTGATTTTTCTGTAATTTGAAAATGACATGCCTAGGTGTAACTTTTTTGTTTTTTGTGTGTTTGTTTTTCGGCGTTTATCCTGCTGGGTGTTCTCTGAGCTTCCTCAGGTAAATTAAATGAGGCAGGAACCCTGTGAGGTTGGCGCTATTACTGCTCCCACAGTAAACTTGATCAGTGAGTTTGAGGCAGTGAGAGGTTAAATCGCGTGGCTAGTACGTGCAAAGGAGGGGGTCTGCACTCAGGCCGGACTCTTTATAGCCTAAAGGTCCTGTGGTTTGTGGATCTTTGTTTCAGGCCACTTCGGTGTTGAAAGAGTTGAAACATGCCTTATTAACAAACGAAAACAAAAATGCTCACTTGGCCTCAGTTACCTCTCAAATAGTACTTAATATATTTCTAAAATTGTTTCCTCTCTGCTGCTCCTAGTTACCCTCTTTTTGCTTCCTTTGTAGACATTACTTGAAAAATCTCTCTCACTTTGAATTATGCCTTTGTATGGGTGCTTTCCGTGTTTTTGCTTGTTTGTTTGTTTTAAATTCCAAATGTTTACGAGTCAAAATATGACTAGGGTGCCTTGATTACAGTGATTTCCATGAGGGGGTCTGATTTGCCTTTTAATTGGCGCTTTCTCTGTGTCCTAGCCTGGTTTCTGGGAGGTGCAGGGAACTGAGCGATTCATCTGGATCATCTGCTGCATCATCAGGGAAGAGTGCCTGAGGGGCAGAGGCAGGACGGGGACTTCACATCCCTGGAATCTACCCTCTGCCGGCTCATGGGCTACCTCTACATGGCGCTACCTTTTGACTGCAATGTGCAGGTAACCACTTCATCTCATTGTTCTCTGTATCTTTTCCCTCTAAAATGGTAGTGATTGTTCCTTATCCCTCTTTCTCCCCTTCAGGATATTGCGAAGATTAATTATTATTAAAACCAAAGTAAACATCCATCTCTCTAGAGATGATTGCTATATAAACACAAGAAATGATCCTCACGGTTTCCTTAGTCCTTATAGCTGTGCCTGCAGGGTAAGTGCGCACGTTCTCAGTGAAGAGGTGTTTTGAAACTCCTTCCAGAGAAGTCTGGCGTTCACTCTAAATTGACCTGGAGGCTGAGGAACCCTGGAATGGCTCCAGCTGGTTCTTACTCTGCCAGGTAAATATTTCCATGAACTAACAAGCTATTTAAACTGGTTATTCATGGATTTGGCTGTTACTGTCGCATTGTTCTTGAGTGACTTTCGTGTTACATTTTTAGAGCCCCTGTGATTCTGTATGTCCCAGTGCCTCATCTGGCTTGGTGTTGCTGTTTTAGATGCAGAGTGCTGGAGCTGGGTGGAGCAACCCAACTGTTAAGAAAGGACACTTACTGTGAACTTACTAAGATGTTTAGAGGGAGGTGTTTCCAGGTTGGCTGGTGCCTCAGTATCACGGGGGTCCCGTGCTCTCTCTCCTCGTGTGCCAACACCTGCAGCATGTTTAGTTTCATGCTTGAGTGGCACGCTTCCTGGGCACCAGGCGGTCGCCACACCTACAGACAGCAGGTCTCTGCTTGGCCTTCGTGAGTGCAGAAGTGGGAGGTCTGTCAAGATGGCAAGAGACAGGTCTCCTCACAAACATGTTCCCTTTCCTCCAGGAGCAACACTCTTTCCCAGAAGTCCCTCCACTTGACATCCATTTGGGCAGAGCGGGGTCTCACGGCCTTCCTGAGCTGCAGGGGTAACTGGAGGAGGAAGTGTCTCACTGTTTTGGCATCTGCCTTAGGAGATGGGCAAGGAGAAGGGATGAGGAGTCACCAGCCAAAGTGTTTGTTGCAGATAACAAGCCCTTTCTCTTTCTCTCCCTTCTACTCTGTTTACAGAGATCAGTGTCCGCCCATGGCCTACCCCCTCTTGGGAAGGGACTCGGACAAATTTGCCGCCATGACGGTTGACACTTCCCATCTAGGATGGAGGAATGGGGTTCCGAAATTTGTTCCACCACTTTTGAAAGGTAATCAGCTTCTGTATGCGGTGGGTGGGACAGGTCCATTTAAGTTGCTTTGAGGTTTACCCAGTAAATCACCACAAAATGGTGCCAGCCAAAGAACTGAGGGGAGAGCGTTGTCCTGGCATCAGTCTGTTTCTCATAACTGCCTTGTGAAGAAGGCAGGAAACCGTGAGTCCTACTGATTTTATAACTGAGGATGAAAAGTTAAGGGGGTAGCAGCTTGAATTCTGGGAACTAGGTGTGAACAGTTCCATTTCCAAGCTCTGACCACAAGTGCCCGGACTGTAAGTTTTTTGTCCAAAATGTTTCGTATAGGTCCACTCACAGCTGGAGTTCACCTGACACATGCATCTCTCCTTTTAAATCATTGTTTCTCTGATTTCCATGCTTTTGCATTGAAATTTGTATGTTGTTTGCTCTGAACGGTTGGACAATGACGTTGATGACACTGATGACTTTGTAGTTAGGCAGTATATACGACAGTCAGCTCTACGTGGTAATTCTAAAAGAGGTTCCCATCAGTAGGATGTAGGAAACACAGCCTGGCATGTCATCCTGGACATTTCTCTCCATTTTTATTGTATTCAGTAAGAGACTGAGTTCAGCAGCTCACCTTGGAAGACAAGTGTGATGAAGTTTGACTATCCTGTACAGCAAAATGATGGGACCCCAAACCTGTGTTCCCCCTAGTGGGGTCAGGATGTTGCAGCAAAGCCCTGAGGCAACCAGCACATCTTTCTGAAGATGACTTTGATCTGGAAACAAAAGGAACAGCTTGATGTGAATCAAACCCACAGAATTTTGGGCAATGTGAGTGTTGCCACCTGGGTTAGATTTAGCTGAGAGTGGCAGGAACTTGGCTACTGCTTAAACGAGTAAGGAGTTTCGTTTTTCTTGCAGAAAGTGTGGAGGGGGTTACTTCAGGGCTGGTGCAGCTGCTCTAGGGCCAGGCTCAGTTCACCTTTTTGCTTTGCTTCCTTCATGCATAACGGCTGAGCATCTAAGAATTATGTCAGCATTCCAGAAATAAAGAAGGATGAAGAAGGAAGAAATAAGTGGCTGGATCAGGACTTGGAACGTTCCCAGAAACCCCAGTAAACATACATCTTGTTGCCATGAACCTATGTGACCTTTAGCTGCGAGGGGGTCTGGTGACTGTTTTTGTCTCTGGCACATTGCCATTCCTGTGAGAGCTGGGTTCTCTGGCTGAGGATGAAATAGGGAAGTGATGTTGCCTGAGCGCCGAGCTGGGTGCTCCACACCCGTCAGGGCCAGGCAGACTGCGGCGTCTGTGTTTCACTGTTAGTCATCAGTGGCAACATCTATTGCCATCAAAGGCAAGTCAGAATGATTGGATGTCAGAAAGGAATCTCTCATTTTACCGTCTTTCACAAGGAAGCAGCAGTAGCCTTCCTATCCGTGTTTACTTTTGTGCAGAATGGGAATTTGTTTTCTTGCTTTACATGTCACTTTACATACGTCCCCACTTTCGGTGAGGAAGTGAAGGTTCATTTGGATGATGAAGTGAGTTTTGGAGGGGAAATTCATTCGGTCATCAGACAGGTCTGGACCTCTTCTGGGGACCGCTGTGCTCCCCACACAGTGCCAGGGTACGTGCCCTTCCCTCTGAAACCAGGACCCCTCAACCGTGCCTGTAGACGATTTGAGCTAAAGGCTGAGAAGCAGCTGAGTCATGAGGTGGCCCACTCTGTGCCGTCCTGACCTGGCTGTCTGGCTGGGTCCGTGGGAACACTCTTAACGGTGTCAATAGGCAACAGGCAGCAGTGCATTTAAACAGAGCCAGGGAGCTGCTGTGTGCACAGCCCGACTGTGGCACAAGTGGGTTCTTTTCCTGGGGACTTAGAATGTGACAGGCGTCTCAAGCTGATGGGCTCATGGGGTTAGCCTTTTGCAGCCATGATGCTAATTTTAACATTTTTTTTCTCCTAACTACCCACCACCCCCATCCTTCCTTCCTTCCTCCCTTCCTCTTTTCCTTCCCTCCTTCCTTCCTTCTTCCCTCCCTCCCTCCCTTCCTTCCTTTCTTTCACCTCTATTTAGATTTTGTCTTAGAAACAGTTTTGAAAGAATCTAGAGGTCCCTTTTTAAACTTCCCACCTGTAGGCATCTTGCTGAGCCTCATCTAGGCTCTTCTTGCAAACGTCTACGAAAGAGACAGCCATCATCCCACAAGTCAGCCGGTTCTGAAGAGCGTGTTGGAGGGCGTTGCCTGTATTCAGCGAGTATCTCCTATTAGATTTCATAATCTCGTACCAACAGTGAAACTCCAAAATCCTGTTGGATAAATGGCAAAAAGGAGTATTGCGCTGACTGGATATTGCATGGCGAGGGCTTCCCTTTTGCGTTAGGCTATGTTGATTCAGAAGTGAGTGACAGTTTACAAGTCTCCGTCAGAGAATCGGGAGGGAAAGTACATAAGAAGCACAGCAACAAGCCTGAGAAATGCAATGAGGTGTAAAAGAGAAAGAAACAACGGTGTTGTTTGCCATCGTGACTGGCACATTTAAAATCAAAATGTCGAGGATACATCTTTGCAAGGATCTCTGATCACAGCCCTCTCCATGGTCAGCAAGGTTATGAAACAAGTCATCTTCTTCCTTCTTCCCTCCTTCCCTCCCTCCCTTTCTTACTTCTTGCCTTCTCTCTAAGGCTCATCACTACGAACTTTTCAAGGAGGAGAGGTTAATCGCTTTGGTTTGAAATCACGAGAGAAGGCATCATGAGTGAGCATTTGAGTGTTTGGTCAGTTGGGATGGGAGAGACTGAATCAAAGCAGGTGGCCCTGTGCCATGATTGTTACTGAGTCTCCTGGAGTGACTCAGTCATGATTATTCAGGCTACTGTTTCACAAAGTAAACATGCAGCCCACAGGCAGCCATCGCTGTTGACACTTCCTTATCCTTGACTTTGGGGAGGGTCAGAGCACTCACTGACACGCCAGGAACACTCAGCTGCCTTCAGCAAGTCTCCCAGGCGGCAGGTGGCCTTCCCAAGCCAGATGCTCCCAGGGAGGCACCTTGCCTTCTGTGCCATTCTGGGCGAGCGACCTGCAACTGTATCCCCATCTCCCTTAAAAGCAGATTGCAGTACAAAGAGCGTGGCAATCAGGGGGAAACAAATATAGGTGCCATATTTGTGTTTGGAACAGTGGTCACAACAGATTCTGACTAAGCCTGTAGATGATGGTAGTTGAGGGTTATCCAAAGGTTGAAGGTCACCGGCAGAGTTCGTCGGAGTCTGTTCACTCAGAGTTTCCTGCCGTGCGGGACTCAGCCACCCTCGCGCTCCTTCTGCTAGAGACTCAGAGGGATTTGAAAGGAGAGTTTTACAGAGCAAAAGGGGGAAATCTCAAACGGTCTTTGGTCAACATCCTATTCGGGGGGGATTTCCCCGAAGGGTGGGGCTTCTGGAAGTGGTGGGGGTGGTGGGAGCGGGTCCTGGGCGAGGAGTCTTCTGATTGATTTCCAAATTCGCCGGACAGTCTTCGGTCGGGTCGCTGTCCGCAGGCGCGGCACTGGGGCCTTCCCGGGCTGGGTCCGCTCGTGAAGGTTTCCTTGTTCCCCTGAGGGTCTGTCTGCTTCTCTGCTTTGGGCTCCACGTCTAGCCTAAGCCAGTGCTGCAGGACCGCCACGTGAAAGTGTGAGCTCCTCGTTCAGGATGCACCCGTGCCTGGGGTGTGTGATGAGTCAGTAAGTACTTGTAGAATGTATAACACATATTCTGTAAGACGGATTTTTCTGGGAAAACCGTCAGATAGAAAAGTTGGAAGAATTGTGCAGTAAACATCCGTGTCGTCCCCACCTCGATCCTATAATTAAAATATTACTCTACTTGTTTCATCAAATCTCTCTCCATGTATTCACTCCACAGGAGAAATTTTCATATGACACATTTGACTAAGCTGATAAGAAAACAAAGTTTATAGCCTTCATAGCCTTCCTTACATATGTGAGGAGAGATTCTAGTCCAAGAGAATGTGAGTGATAGTTCCAGAAATGTCTTAATTGCCCTTATAAACCACTGTTGTTTGCCAAACACGGGAGGGGCTCAGATCCTGTATGAGGCTTTTAGTGTCCAAGGATTTCACGGTGCTCAAGGTTCATTTGTTGACAGTATTATGGAGCCGGAATTTACCCATACTTAGAAAAGATTATTATTAAACTTGTAGGGAGAAATGCCTATAAGCATTAATGCTTTTTGAGCATTAAGCTTTTTAAGCTTAATGGAGCTACTATAATCAGTGTTTGTCACATGATTTGTTTTTTTTTTTTTGGAAGGTTCCATGGAAGTCGGCTTAAGTCACAGATGAAAGTTGATTCTCTAGGTTAAATGAGGCAGGTAAAAGCTGAATATGCCTGCTGCTTCAAAGGCTTTTAGGAGGCTAGCCATCCAGATATGTTTGCTTGCTTTTTTCCTCTACTCTGTATTTCTGTGTACTATGAAAAGTCTAGCGTGTGGCCTCTGACGAGCGAGGCGAGGACTTGTGGGTACGGCTGGGAGTCAGTGCAGCCTTTGAGGAAAGAGCCAGATGCCTTGATTTGGGTTCAGCCTCTGTCCTTCATATTTGGGGCAAGTCACTTAGCTGCCCTGAGTCTCAATTTCTGCATCATGGAATGAATTTAATCCACAATTAAATTACCTCCCAAGGTTCTCATGAAGATGAAATGAGATACTTCCAGTAAAATGTCTGGCTCGTAGTGACAAACAGTAAATACTAGTCATCAGTTACAATGTGGCAAAAGTCATATACTTTAGAGAAAAAAGAAAATATGCATATATTGGTAGAACAGAATTCTAGTTTTGAGCTGGAAGGGACCTCAAAAAAGCTCTCCCTCAACTCTCCCTCTGACAAATGAGAACCTGAAGTCCAGAGACATTGATTTCCCTATACTAATAGTTAAATTGATTCTGGAATAGCATGAAAACCAAGGTTTTTTATTCCTTTAAGTAAAGCTCTTTCCACTCCACCAGGCATTCCTGATTTGAGGATGCTGGGGACACCCCACTGCTGCAGTGATCAAGCACACAATCCTTGGAGACACACAGACCTGAACTCACACCCAGTCTTCACCTCTTATTTTGTGATGTGGGCAAGTTGCACCCTGGTTTTCTCTCTGTAAATGGGTTTTGTAATCCTACCAGATGAGGCTGTTCTGGGGTTAAATGAGATAATAGAGTAAGACACACTGCACAGTGCTTCAGAATATAATAGGGTCCCCGTTATTGTAGCTGCTATTAACAAAAAAAAAAAAAAAAAGAGGAGGTGGAGGAAGAGAAGGAGGAGGGATTTTAAAGGAAGAACACATTCCCTCGTTCTCATAATAGATTATCAAAGACTTAAATCCTGAAAAGACTGTGGCACTTCCAGGGGGAATTAGAAAAAAAGCAGAAGCTAAGTAGAAGAGTAGAAGATGGAAAGATGGGAAGAGAGAAAAGATGCTGATGGAAAGCAGCTGATGGCCATCAAGCATTTCTGTTACTTCTGGGGCTCTCGACTTCGGTTAGGGACAGAAGGTCACAGCCATGGTGCAGTTTGATTCCACTGCAGGATTTGCACCAAAAGCCCTTCACCTCACCCTTATGCGTGCTTTTGCTTCTTCTTGATTCCTACCTGACCCTAATTTTTGGATTACTTGGGTACAGAATCACTGTCTCAGAAAGTTGCAAAGCAACCTTCAATGTGTTCTGTTGAATAGCTGTGTAAAATTTATGTCCCGCGTACGCTGTTTGTTCAGTAAGAGAAGGAGTTAACCTAAATAGGTTTTGAATTTGAGTGTAACCATTATGACAGACAGGCAAAGAGGACAGACTGCCGAGTCCATGAGGCAGTGAAATGTCGTGGTCTGGAGCACACGGGTGTATGAGAAGTGTCGGTGATAATGGAAATGTTCTCCATCTGCTCTGTCCAGTATAAGCCATGGGCCACGTGTGGCTTTTGAGCACCTGAACTGTGGCTAGTGCCATCGAAGAACTGAATCTGTAATGTTTCGTAATTTTTATTAGGTTAATTTAGATTTTAAATATGGCCCCATGTGGTTAGTGGCTACCATATCGGGCTGTGCAGAACAGAGTGTAATGGTGGAATGCAGACACTGAAGCACAAGGCCAGGGTTCGCATCCCAACTTTGCCCTCGCTGGTCTCCCCACTGCTCAGTTCCACGGGGTCCCCATCTGTAAGAGCCATCATGAAGACCATGAGTCAACAGATGGGATCAATATATGGAAAGTCATACATTGAGCCAATGTATGGAATGAGTCAATATATGGGAAAGAATCAATGTGTGAAAAGTACATTCTATATATGAGTTTGTTTTCATTACCGCTCTTCTGGGGAGGTCATGAGATCTATGTTAACTAACAGATCACTACATGATTGTTTCACCTGAATTTTGCCCTCTGTTGACTGAGCCTGGAGAGTTGTGTCAGGTCAGCAGTGGGGTTAGTCAGAGCATCGTCTTCTGGTTCTGAGAGTTAATGTTCCTGTGCGTTGGCAGTTTTAGCTCATAAAGACAGCGAGGAAACTGGGTGTTTGGTTCTGCTAGATTTATCTCTGTTGGCATATTGTCTTCTACCCTCAGTTTTTGCATCTGACAGATGAGAAAAACTCTACCCCATTTCTCAGGTGTCTACATTTTAGAGTCACATGGGGGATGTTAAATAGCAATAAGTAGATGGTTGCATTTAAGTAGATGATTGCATTTCAGACATTTGGAACACCTTTCCCCTGGATTGTCATAATTATAACATGGCAAGCATTGAGTGGTTTTTCTAGGCACTGGGCTGAGTGGTTTGTGGTCATTATTTCCGCTGGTCTTTAATGTGACCCTATTAGGAGGATATTGTCACCATTATTTTAAGGGGACAGGACAGAGAGTTTAGGCAGTGTGCTCCAGGTCACGTAGGCAATGAGCAGCAAAAATAGGCTTGGTTCTCTTTGACTCTGAAGCTTGTATGCTGAAGTTTGTAGAATGGCCTTCTCTTACGGTCTGAGAACACACTTGTTAACTCTAAGTGTGTTTTCCCACATGCTTTTAAAAAATTCAATAATTAGGAAATCAGTTTTAAACCTGGAAAACTTTTGGAAACAGGAAGCGTGGTGGCTTTGCAGAATGAGGAGATTGGAACATTTTGGTTGTTTATGCCCCTTTTGTTGATGAAACTTCAATCATCTGAAATTTACTTTGCACAGTTTTCCTTGAGAAAGCCTCTTGCTCCAGGGTTTCTTACACTGTTACCAACACAAAATGCAAGTAGCTGGTGCTTGAGATGATCACACTCCCTTCCTGCTTCTTCTTTCCTCCTGGCTCTTCCCTTCCAATGCCTAACAGCAACTCAACAAATATTCATCAAACTCCTACCATGACTGGGCTCCGTGTTGGACACCGAACAAGATAAAACACTAAACAAGAAAATATGACTCCTGTTCTCATGGGGTTTATGGGCACTCGTGTAGTAGCCTGCAAACATCAACTTTGGGAAAAAACTGGACCAGAAAGAACTCGTACAGCATCTTGTGCATAGTAGCCTCTAACAACAAAAACTTCCTCCAAAATCCTTACTATAAAACAGAGATTTGGTCCCCTAGCAGCCCCTAGATAAATAGTGATGTGCAGTGTGTTTTTCTCATTATGACACTAAAAGCCTTTAAATTGGGTGTTTCTAGTCTATCACAAAACTACGAAGTTAGACATTTATGAATCCTGCTGAGCCCCTAACTGAGGATTTATGATTTAAGTGGAACACTAGGGAGCTGTTGGGTCAATAAAAAAATCTCTAAAATTCTTTAAAAATGATCAGAGTCGGAAACAAAAAATATGTTAGCAACATTATTTGGATTTTAGGGACCAGGAAGTGTCATTAGCCATAGTGGAAGTAAAATACACGAGATGAATATTATTGCTCAAGGAAAATACAGAACAAAAAGGTACAGAGAGTGTATAAAGCACACAGCACATGTGCTTTTTAAAAATTATTTTATTGCAATAGCTAACATAAGTTAGCTTCTCTGTGGTGCTTTATAAATATAATAATGGCAGGTGAGACATTAAAAGCACAACAACAAAAAAAAAACTGAATTATCTTTGCTACTTCATTTTATGATAGCCACACCTTTCCTAAAAGGTATTTGAAATCATCTTGTGATAATCAATTTTTTTCGGGGGGGATATAATTAAGTTTATTTATTTATTTATTTTAGTGGGGGTACTGGGGATTGAACCCAGGACCTAATGCATGCTAGGCATGCCCTCTACCACTGAGCTATACCCTCCCCTTAAATTTTGATAATTAGATAAAGGCATTAGGAGGGGTGGGTATAGCTCAGCGGTAGAGCGTGTGCCTAGCATGCACAAGGTCCTGGGCTCAATTTCTAAACCGCCATTAAAAAAAGAAAGAAAGAAAAGGGGCAAAAAAGGGAAGGGACTGAGGGAAGTACTAGGAATTTTGCATATACGCTGGACTCCTTCCTCCACTCACTCGTTGTCCCAGGCAGAGTTCAGATACAAAGGGTTTTGTATAAACCTGGGCCTGTCTTACAGGGGCTAGTGGTTTCTTTAAACAAAGCACACATAATTCCATCACAAGTCAAGTCAAAGGCAGTAACTGTGCCAGTTAGGCAAAGACGGGTTCCGTCACCGGGCTGTACTAATCCGGCAGGTTTTGTGGAGGAAGTAGCAGAACTTGCGCCAGGGCCAGGGAAGCGGACGGGCTTTGGAAGAGGCCCAGAGGAATGAAGAGCCAACGGATGAGAGCGCACGGCGTGCCCAAGAGTAGGCGGGAGCCGGCGTTGTGGAGGTCCCCAGGCATTGATTCCCTGTGCTGGTGGGAGACTCGGGTTGGAATCATAGAGAAATAAACAAGGGAGTAATAAACCAGGTAGTAACGTACTGGGGAGAAATCTGACAGGTGGGGAAGGAGCTTGGGCTTTACCTTGAGGAGCACCACTCTGGCCCCTGGTCGTGTGTGAGGCTCGCTAGGGAGCGTGATGGAAATGCAGATTCTCGGGCCTCTAGTCAACCACACCAGGGACTTGATGTGTCCTGAGGCCCTATCATCTGCCATCTTTTAAAATTCCTTAGATGGTCCAGTCCAGGGACCAAAGTGCGGGAACCAGTGTCGCGGATAATGGAGAAACACAGGAACTTTCCGAGACAGAATTTTACAAGTGGAATTCCAAGAAGCTTAATTTTACAGGAGTGTCCAGGATGACTTACTGGAGAAATATACCTGAGTTTAGGAAATCAGCCAGACGTTTTCTACGTCCCCAATCTGTCCATGAATCTTTCCCAACAATTATTTATCAAGGACCGTCTATGTGTGAGGCTCTGTGAGAGAGAACGCAGAGGCTTTCAATCTCGGTACCCATCAAAATCACCTGGGATTTCCCTAAGAGCTCAACCTACTCCCAGGCTGCACTCCAGGCCAATCAAATCACATCACGTCAAAAGCCGGACCAGATGGCGCAATTTTTAAATGTCGCAGGTGATTCCAGTGCGGCCAATACCAAGATCCACTGCTTTAGAGGAAACAGACCTACAGCAATACTTCTCTTCCCTTCAGAACTTGCAATCTCGTTGGAGAAATTAAACACGTGTAGAAATAAGTGAATGTGCTTTCTGCACAGAACTCAGTTATTGGCAGGAGATAGGAATTCTGAGTACTGCTTTGTGAATTCTGGTAGACATCATCTCTGGGTCAAGACGGATACCTGTGTCTGGAGGGGAAAGAGGAATCTAAGTACAAACTGGGAGAATTGTTTCCCCAACCTCGCTCACCGCGGGGTCCAGGTGCCACTCCATGAGGGACCTCACACCCTCAACGCCTCAGCCTGCCCTTCTGTGAGCTGTCTTTGCAAATCAAAGCATCTGCTCACGTCTCTCTGCACAGGTACTGCTGGCCGTGGCCAGATGAAAACCTAGATTTTAAAATTTTATTCTAAATTCCTGACCACAGAAGTCAAGTCATACTGCAGTGCTGCCTGGAGGCCATCCTTTTAAAACCCAAGTCCGGTCCTGTTGCTCCTCTGCTCAACCCTACAACGACCACAGGCCCATTTACTCTGAGTGGAAGCAAAGTTCCTCCAAAGCCAGCAAGGCTGTGCCTGTTCCCCGTCCCTGCCCCTCCACCCCCGGGGGCTTCCTTCCCAGGGCAGAGGAACAGAATCATTCCTCAGGTTTCCTTATTGTCTCAACGGCCGCACGTGCCACTCTCTTGGGTCAAGAAGGCTCAACGCCATGGAGTCGCTCCTGGCTCCTGACTCTGCCTGCTTCATCCTCCCTCTCAGCCTCTCCTCGGAGCTGTCTGTTATTTCACAGCGACGTTCTTTATCTCCACCCCGGCTCCTAGCAGAACTTCTCTAAGTTTAAAGCAAATTCGAGGAGTGGCTGGTTGGACACGACGCCCCTGGGAGTCAGAAAGAGGAAGCTGATACAGAGACCTCTCCGCCTTCCCCTTTCCACACCGTGGCCTTTGCTTAGTTGGCACTGTGTCTTCCTTGACGTTGAGTTTAACTGACTCCATAAGAAGACAGGGGAAGGCAAGGGAAGGAAAATGAGAGAAAACACCTCGGGACGTAGAACTGGCTGTGATCTAATTATCCGGGTCCTTTCTGCCTGAAGCGTCATACTTCCTCCTGGCAGTGCTTTGCCCCACTGTGGCGTATTTACAATGTATCTGGCTTTGTTCTGAATTCTCCACATCTGTAAACTTGTAGAACCCCTGTAAGGAAGGTACTGTTCTCGTACTTATTTCACAGATGAGGAAAGCCAGGGGGTGAAAAGTGACCTTGATCACACAGCTGAGAATAAAACCAGAATCTGAGCCCAAACCTGCAGTCCAGCTCCCCTTGTTCGGCCGTCTTTATATCGTGCCCATTCTGGACGTTTACACAGCTCTCTCCGGCTTTTCCCACAACATGCCCTCAGCAGCAATCTCGCCCCTCCTGGGCACCCTGGTTCACCCTGTCCCCTTCCAGGCTTCATTCAGAAGTGACTTCTCACTCTCTTCTTCGACAATCTGAACTCTCACAGCAATTTACCTGCCATAGTACATACTTATTACCTTCTCTTCTGTATAACCTACCCGTGTGCTCCAGCCCAGAAGCTTCCTCCAAGTATTTCTAGGTGCTCCTGGAAAAGGAACCACTGGCACTCAGAGCCGCCTGCCAGCCAGCCCCCTCAGGCCTGTCTCATAAAGGGAGAGAAGCACCTCCTCTTTCATCCATTCCTTCCTTGGGTAGATGCTGGGGACCTGCTGTGTACCACCCTGGTGATACATTTGTGGTCACAACAGATGAAAATTTCTGCCTTAACAGCTTTCAATTAGCAAAGAGATCAGATAATAAACATCATAAAAAGTAAACTGCCTAGTGTGTAGAAGGAGAAAAGAGAATAGCCAATTAGGGTCAAGAGAATGCTGGGGGCAGGGTGGGGGGAGTTGCATTTTAAGTGAGTGGCCAAGGTCACACACATTTGACTTTGTGAGGATAATGACAAGTTTCCTTTTAGACTTGTTGAGTATGAGATGCAGATGGGTGATGCAAATGGCCTGGGGTCAGTGTGAGATAAAACAACTAGACCTGAGCAGAGAGGGCAGAGCAGAAGATAGTAGTCTCTTAAAGGTTCTCCCTGCTTCTCATCTCTCCCCTCTAAATTATTCCCTGTGTTATATCCAGCCTGGTCTTTGTACAACACAGATCTGGTCCCGTCACACCCCTGTTTGTCTAGAGAATTTATTGTCTAGAGAGTCTTTCTACTTTCACTTCCTGGTCCACTGGGGATAAATCATCAAGATGACCTTTTCACAGTGTCTTCCTCTTCACAGAGAAGGCCTTTGCAGCTTAGACAGGGAATTGGTGCGCTACGTAGGATATTCCACCTTAAATGCCAGCAGGGGCTCCTGCCCTCGATAGTTGTGACAGCTGGTGCCCTCACAGTCTTCAGGACACGGGAATCCCTCAGGGCCCGGGTTGGATCTGTGAAGTCTATTGCAGATATCCCTGGTTTGGACATTGGTTGTCTGATTGGCCCATCAGGGTTTTTTCTGGTGGTGGAGGGAAGCAGAATTTAAGGATGGAAGGGGCATGGTGAATTACTTGATCGAGGGGGCCATGAGACAGGTGGCTCTCGTGCTGTGGGGGGCAAGGGAAGCAAAGCGGAACGTCAGCCTGTAAATGACTCAAGGTTATGAAATCGAAACCCAGGGACAGCCAGTCACAAACAGCCCACTAGGCTTTAAGCGGCAGCGAGTCAGAAACCCCCTGACTCGGCTCCCTCACTTTCTCTGCAGAAGTTTCTCCCGGCTCCCAGCTACTTCCGGTTTGGGGCTGCCCCATAGGAATCGATTTTTGCTCAGATAAACTCTTCACATTTTTTATATGCCTCAGTTTATCTTTTAAGAGACATTAAAGTTCTTGCAGTGCAACCTCCCACCACGCGCTGCGGGATTACTCAAGTCAGCCCTGCCACATGGTGGTCCAGCTCTGGCTAAACGTTCCTGTTCCGTAAGCATGAAGCTATTAATTGCAGCCTCGTCTGTAACAGTCAAACTTTGGAAGCAACCAAACTATTTAGTACAGAAGTAAGTCACCATTAGACAAGAAGTAGAAATTATATCTGTGGATGTTTGTGAAAAGGTTTATGATTTTAAGTTAAAAAGGCTGAAAATGAACTTGCATTTATATTATGCTTAAAACTGTCGACAAGAGGATGGGCAAATATGCAGAATAAAATGCCTGGGCTCTGAGGGTAAATTTTCTTTTAAACATTTATAAATAGCGTATAATTTTGCTTATTTGGTGTTCTTATATCAAACGAATACAAATAAGAAGTTGGTTTTACTTTTTTTTTTCCCCTGCTTGAAAACCGGTAAGTGTCAAGGGGGCTAATATTTTGGTGTGGAGATAGTGACTTACAACGATATTCTCAGGGTGGGGCAGAGGCAATGAGCAAAGGAAAAAGTTTTACGTGTATCTGGTGAGGCAGGCAAATACTTCATCCCTCCCACCCCCTTTGAAAATCGCTGTAGCTGTTTCCTGAATTTGCATTTGCAATTTAACACGAGCCGGGGGATCACATTGAAAAGGAACAGTTTTAAGAGAAAACACAGCACAAGAGAAAACCGTCCACCAATACGTAGAACAAACCTAATTACATCCTCACTTATATCCTGTACCATACAGCACCATACGGCTGATTGGCAGAGCTCCCCCGCCTGAGTGGCTTCCGTCTGCTTGTTTTGATGTATCTGCATCCCGCAGACGTAGCAGTGTAGTGTTTAGATGCAGGGATGCGTGGTCTTCCGCTGTTGTACCTTCTGTTGTCTGGAGACTCACACGACCAGAGGGTGGACAGATTCCGTTTTGTTCTCATTATTTGCCCAGAGCGTTTAACAGTGTGATAGGTGCTGCAGCCCTACGGCAGTTCACAAAGGATAGTATCTTCGTTTTTCGGATGCAGATTTTTAGGTAGAGCCGAGTCTCAGGTTTTTGGATAGAAAAGGTCAACCACAGCCAACTCAGTTCGAAATAACCTTAAAAACAATATTGCTGTCCCGCGGAATGAGAGGGTTAGATCTACTTAATTTTAGCTTTTTTGACAATTTATGATGATTAACATTAAAGTCTTAAAAACGAGATGGAAATTAGCCATTAGTGGAATAAGTAAAAAATAAATCTATTTTATTGGCATTTAGAGAGCAAAAGCTATATTCTAGTTTAGAGGAAGAATATTGCTTTCCTCTATTAATATAGCATTTAAATTCATAGGCTCTGGTATTTAGTAAAAATACAGCCTATTTAGGTGCTGAATCAAGGAAGGAGCAAGGCAGAATTTTTTTAGTTTTATTCTAATTGGGCTGTAAATCTAGGAGTCTGGGGAGACTCATACCAGACGGACTATAATTTCTTGCTCTTCCCCTTATAATAATTCAGCACAATTTTACCCAATCTGTCTCGGCTCTCTGTTAATTAGATAAATGAAAAGAACTCCTAATCTTCATCTAGGGTTTACTTCTGATAAATCACCTTGCTTTTCTGTCTTGTTAAACTTTACTCCCGTCTTACTACAGTTGTCACTCGACTAGGTGCCCTGTTTTCCCACTGCTTTGGTTACCCCTCCTTCCCTGGGAGGTGGCCCGTAACTAAAGGTAGACTCTTTAGGGTCTGGCCCAGATGGACAGTGGCTCAAGGGGCTCTTCCAGCTGTTTCTGGCGGGTGAATGTGTCTGCCTGAGTTTGGATGGATGTCAAAACTGGAACCCTGAGGAGTGACTGGGACAGCCCTGGGAACCGGAAAACAAAGAATGAAATGTTTTGAAATAATTTGGAACTTTGCCAGTATGTCTTTAATGAAAATGTTTTAATCAAGGCTTTTTAATTAAAAAAAACAACACTCAAGTAGACTCAATATGAATTCGTTCTCAATTAGATGATTAGGGAAATGCAAATGCCACGGCCCATCCGACCACCCAGACAGCCGAGCACAAAGGTGGGTGCGTGTAACGAACGTTACACAAAACGGCCTTGTTGGAAAGGTCCCTGGATGATGATTAACCAAGATAATGAACTTCTGGCCTGAGCTGAGCTCCCCTGAGATTGCGGGCATCGGTACTGAAGCAGCAGCATCACTGGACCAAAGGGCAAAACCCTCCAGCTAGACAGAAAAAGGCTGACTCTCCCTCCAACCTGTCGCTCTGGTGACCAGTCCCTGCATTTCGGGGATGGAGACCTTACATGGCCTCTAAGGTCTTCAACATATTATTTAGATTTCACTGCCAAAAGGAAGCTCATTCCTTCTTTCTTACCTTCTCTTTTTAAATATTTACTGTTACATCCGCACCGTCCCTCTCTCCTCTGTCTTACACCCCCCCGCCCCACACCCTTACTTCTTTGGGTTTATTTACTCTTTAACTTCCGGCCAGCTCCTGCGCTCACAGCGCACACAGCCGCCAAGCGCTGCTGCAGCCCTTCCTTCCCCCAAACCCGCCCCGCTGCTGCTGTCAGCCCTGCCAGTCGGGTAGGGGAAGCAGCCTGGAACAGGGTCCTGATGTCAGAAGAGTTTTTAAAAAACTTGCCACTGCGTGTGCCTCCTCATCCCCCAGAGTCCTCAGCCACCACCCTGGCTCCTGACACGCAGGGAGGACACCGTGTGACGTTCAGGGGCCTCCGGGTCTGGCAGGGCCCAGCCCCGCTTTGTGGGCTGGGAGGTGATTGATCGCCTTTGGCTTGTCTCCTGCTAGGTCTCTTTCCCAATTCTCGGGCACTTTTTTAAGTGTGTTCAAGGAGTGAATCTTGCTCACACACCCGGATTGATGTGTCTGTCTGATAAAAGCATGAGGATTCGGGTGGCTCTAGTGTTTTTCAGCCCCAACCCGCCCCTGTCACTGATTTTAGTAGTAGAAGTATATCCACAGGATAAGTCACAGGCTGGACGGTGTGTCATGAAGTGCTTGAGAGTGTGAACAGCCTTGAATGTAACTGGAGGAAACTGGGTGTTCCATGAATGCTAAGGAGGCCACAGGCCTGGGCAGCCTGGGGGTGAATGGGTTGCACCCGGGGTGCTGGTTCCCCAGGGCTGCTGTCTTAAAGGACCACAACCCGGGAGGCTTAGAACAACTGAAATTTATCTTCTCACTGTTCTGGAAGCCAGACGTCCGTCCAAAATCAAAGCGCTGGCAGGGCTGGTTCTTCCTGGAGGCTCTGAGGGAGAGCCTTTCCCAGGCCTCTCTGCTGGCTTCTGCTGCTTGCTGGCAGTCCTTGGCATCCCTTGGCTTGGAGACACATCACCTGACTTCAGTGTCTCTTCTCACGTGTCTGTGTCTGCACGTCCCCCTTTTTATAAGGACACCAGTCATTGGATTGGGGCCCACCCTACTCCAGCGTGACCTCATCTTCCCTTGACTACCTCGGCAGGGACCCGACTTCCAAACAAGGTCACAGTCACTGGTACTGGGGGCCAGGACATGAACAGAGCCTTCGCTCGGGTTGAATGATTCAAGCCAGTACACGGCGTTCCCCACTCCTCCGTGCTCACAGCTCCGCCTCGCCTTCCTCCCTCTGCAGGTCAGTCCCGAGGCTTTGGCACTCGGTCAGGCCTGCACGTTCTGGGTGTCTCCCGCCTGTCTTCACCTCTTTTATCTCAGATTCCCCGTATTGATTGTTTCCACCACCATCATTCCCCCAGAGTCCCAATCTTGGCTGAAGGGATCGTGGTTTGTAGTTGGCTTCTGATGTGTGCCCTTTGTGGAACAAAGCACCTTGGCATTCTTAAGTTTGACATTTGTGATTCTTAGACATTATGTAAATGGAACACACAGGCCAAGAAAAGATTTGTGATTGGGGTGGGGGCATAATTCTGAACCGGCTGGTTCTGCAAAGTTTGTAGAGTGTCCTGGAGCTACTGAGTGAGCCCAGCCTGCCACCAGCATCCACCCCTCAGCCTGGCTCACTGGTTCTCTAGTCACAGTTTGTTGACTGAAATAAAATGCACAACTAAAAGTTGAAATCTATGGTTTATTCAGTTGATATTTCTGAGGACTTAAGCCTAGGGTGACAGCCTCTCAGATCACTCCTAGGGATTGCTTAAAAGTGACAAGGGAGAAGCCAGGATATATGAGTTTTTGCAACAAAGACCAGGTAGTTGGAACATCAACAGATGACTATTAATTAAAGAAAACCAGATACCTCAAGTTAAGGAATTTAGCACTTTTCTATGTATGGGAAGGCATAAAGATCTGGGCTCACTGAATGCATTCCTTTGTTGTGCACCTGGCTGTTTAAGGCCAGTATCCTGTTCTTTCCCATCCTGAGTTCCCTCTGGGGGCACCGTTGTGGGTGGCTGCAGAGCCTGGCTGCCTGCTTGTCTGCACCCTGAGTTCCTGTTGCTCACTGTCCAGGGTGGTGGTAGCGGCTGATGACTTGATGTGCACAGCATCCTTTGTGCACTGATATGACTGGCAATATTTTTTGTTCACAGCTTGAACAGTATTTCTTCATTTTTTTTTTTTGAGAACATTGTCCATTGGGAGAAAAAATATATGTTCATGAGATGCTGCAAAGGACTTGGAGCTTGGGAGGAAGAACAGCAGCCCAGATAAATATTTTTGGATATGTATAAATTTGGAGATTCTTGGAGATCTCATGTGTTCCTCACAGATACCGTGGATCTATGGTATTTGCATGTGATTTCCAAGTTATCATTTCTTATTTTCAAGTTATTATTATTTTTTACCAGCAGCCTGTTTTTTCTGGAAAAATTATTAACTGGAACTCTAATGTATAATAGTAGATAACAAGGAATAAGCAGGTTTTTCAAGGACTTATAGAGATTTTATTGTTTTTCGGTTTGATGAGATAGACCTTCTAACGTAGCATTCAAGAAAAGGAAGAGGCTTACTTAATAACATGGCCTTCAGAACGCACCCTTCTGTCCTGCCCGGCACCCCCTGGGCACAGGTACATCGGGGCAGGGCACTCTTGGGCAGGGTTGGCTGAAAGTGAAGGTTGATGGCACCTTTAGGGCCAGGGAGCAGCCTCTGTGGTCCCTGTCTGCCTAGTTCTGAGAAGAACAGCTAACACTGGGGTGATAATGTTGGGTGTTTTGTTTGGGTCCAGTGCAACAAGTAACCGATACATTTTTTTGATCTGGTGAAATGTAACCAGCCCCTCTCCGCCACCACTGAATAAGGCCTCTGGTTTTGTGGAGGTGGCGGCTTGGCTGATTTTTGGTGGCGGTGCTTTTTCTCTCATGGATGCATGAGAAATCGCCCCCTCTTCTTTCTTAAGCAAGTCAGTTGGTCTTAAAGTCCTTGCGTTCTGGATTTCCTTGCTAGAGAAGAGCTAACTTTGTCTCTGAGAAACATTAAGGGGAAGAAGTCTTGCTCTGGGGATAAAAGAAGCGTGTGGCCCTTCCCGACTGCCCCCTCCCGGCCACAGCAGTCCCTCGTGTCCAGGGCTCCTGCCTCCTGCCATACCCCCGCTTCTTTCTGTCCGGGCACAGTTAGCTTCCAACAGAGTCCATCTCCCCAGTTCTCTCATCAGCTTTTCCCCTTTAAAAGTCCAAATGAGCGTATTTTTTTGCCTCAGGGAGATC